AATACAGTGATCTTGTTTCTGGTGCACATTATGAGACCTAATGTCTCTAACATTGTTCTTATAAAACAACCACCAAATAAACAGAGAAACAGACAAGCATTTCTTTTATTGGCTGAAACAGTTTGTGCTTGGTTTAAATAGATACCTCTGAGCAAAAATTAACTAGCTATTGTTTCCAAGGCCATGTGTTTGGCCATCAGTAGGACTAAGTAGCAGTCTTCCCCTTAGCTCACTGCAGAGCTAACTAAATGCATCTGACCATTGGGAAAATCAGTTCATTGGTCTTGGAGAATGTTGTCCTTTCTCCAAGCACATTTTTGCTGTGTGTCCTCTTCATAAACTATTTCTGTTGTTTGGTTTTATACTGGCACCAGTCCCCTTTACTGGGTTGCTATGACATTCTTTCCGTACCTTGTTATGCCATGAGCAAACCTGTTAATGCAGTGCACAGTCCTAATGCTGGTGTTTTCCAGATTTTCAGAAAATGTAAGCCTTGAGGCCATTTAGGACTGCGATGAACTGGGAGTGCCCTGATGACATTAGTAAAACCACTTTTCCTCTGGATGCATCCCAAAAATGTCCGACTCTGGGCATACAAGAGTTAAGAGAAGCTCCTAACGCTTGTCCTATTAAATCATTTGTTTGAAAATCCTTGTCCGGGAGAGGGATATTGTCAAATTGCTTTGCATTATTTTCCATGTTTATTGATATGGGTGGAATATTATCCCAAGCTCGCAGAAAGTGTTTGATTTGCTCTGTGCAATTCCATGGGAGAAACATACAGAATGTCCCTGTAAGCAGCATGGGATCTATATCCTTGAGTTTCTGTTATTTGTAAGTAGTAGCATCATGCTCGCTATGAATAGGAGATTACTATGGAGCTGATAATGCAACAAGAAACACAGAATCACAGACAATATGTGGACTGCACAATGAACTTGCCACGTATCTTCGTTCTGAATAGATTTGAAAAGAAAACCTGTATGTGGCTGTTCAAAATGAGCTTTCAATCTGGAATCTCTTCGCTTTCATGGCTGTGAGGCCCATAGCTTAAAAACAAGTCATTTCCAGAAAAAAGAGGATTTCGTCTTTCAGCCATCCTGCTGCCAGGTGTGGTTTTACAGATCTTTAAATTAGACTGTCAGCCATTTTCTAATTAGGTAGGGAGGGAGCCTTCAAGGGAACCAGGAGTATTTAAAAAGATGGGACATAGTTTTGCTACCTCAACGTAATGTTCAGTGACACTGTTTTGTGCTGCTGACGGTTCCTTTTTTCTAAATGCAATATAAAAATAGCAGTCAGTCATTGCTGATATAAACAATAGCACTTCACAAATGTTATGAAATGTTAACACAAGGGGCCCAGCTAAAATTCAATTAGGGTAGTGACATCGGGGTTGGACACGGTGCTTGTTCCTATTCTGTCTAGAGTTAGTGGGAGATTTGATATTTATTTCACAAATAGCAAAGGCTAAATCTGTCATTTTTTTTCCCCTCAGGGAAAATGCCAGGTTTCTAATCAAGCAAATTATAGGGATGACATTAAATTCTTTAACTGCCTCAGCCCTCTGTACACATGAAATTTCACCCCTTCTTTAAGGAGGTTCTATTTTTAAGCTGGTGCAAATCCAATTTGTTGCAAGCCAGTTATAAATGAATTTGGATGTACCCACTTGGGGGTTTATTCAGAAAGAAATAAATTAGTTAAATTCTGCTTCTGATGTTGAACAATTACATCTTCTGTGATGGAGGCCTGTTCTTATATTTGTGGTTAATATTGTCCAGGCAGCACTTTATGAGGCAATAAAAATGTTTCTATTCCTTTCTGGGGAAAGAACCAAAGAATTTTTGTTGGAATTTCCCTTTTAAAAATTTCCCAAGATGTAAAGAGCAAGAATGTAGCATATTTCAAATATGAAAAAGGTCAGTAATACAACTGAAATTAGTATGGATCACCTAATGTAAGGGCATTTTTAATCTAGCTTTTTTTTCCCTGATGTGGTAAGTGGTGGAGAGGCAGTTGTTCTGCTTTTTATGCTTTTTCCTCTTATTTAGTCATACAACATAGTGTGGCAAAGACCTTTTTTAGTACTCTTTGTTAGTGCTTTAAACTGACACATAAAGACAAGTAACTGTAGTGTTTATCTGATGTGGAATAGGTTCTGGCTGCTGCTGTCAGATCAGCATCATGTTCTTCCCTTTCAGGTCAGCTTTACCCCTGCTTTCTCCCATGAGTAGCCCTTTCACTGATTCCCAACCCTGCATCTGCTAAGGTATTTTCCCCAAAAGCTGGGACAGACACATACCTGCCTGTGTGTACCGGCGCAGGATGCCTCCAAGGGTGCAAAAGCCACAGGTGGCTGGCAGAAACAGCCATTCTGCCCTGTGTAGCTCCTGGGCAGGACCTGTCCGGGTACTGTGGTTTGGGCTTGTTTAAGCCTGGGGTTTTGTTTATCATCATTCAAATACTCAGTGTTTCAAATACAGGAAACAGGAAATATGAATGTATACTGGATGGCAAAATTCATTCTGGATGTGAAGGCAACTAAAGTTTTCTACTATTTAATCTCTCAACAGGATGCTGAAAAGTCAGATTGTCTTTGTTTGTAGTTTGAAAATGTTCGGGCTTTATAGTTTATTTATGATGAGAGCTAGCCTCTGCATGGTTTTGTGGAAAGCTGGAAGGAAGACTGTGTCTGCTGATACATCACTTTGCTGTTCTGAAGCTTACATTGCACTGTTGATGTTATGTTTCCTGCTAAATTGGCTTTATTGACAGTAATGAGATGTTTGGCTCTCCCTTATGTAATTGGGAACATTTGAAATACAGGTTTAATAAGATTTGGTATTCTGTATACTGCCCATTAACTTGTTGGGAAAAGGCCTTGAAAAGAACACTCTTTTTCCAGTCTTTCTGCTATACGATTAGGCTAATATGGCTTAGGCTGTCATTCAGTCCTCAGTTCCTCCTATTTCCTTTCTTAGAACAAGAGCCTCAGAAGCAAAACCTCAGCATCACGTATTCCTTAGAACAAACACTTTTCTTTCTGAGTGAGCTGAGACTGTAAAACATTGATACAATAGCTGTGAAAGCTGTTCTCTTCCAAACCACAGCGTGGGAGAGTCTGGTATAGATTGACAAGCAAGCAGTCTTTATTGACCCCGACCAATAAAATTACTACATATGTGCTATCCTCAGACTTTTAACAGTTGCATACTAGTTAAATTTCTATATTTAGCTGCTCTGCAACCTACAAAACAAATGTAGTGTTGTGTCTGTAGATTAGTGGTAAGAGGTGAACTGAATTTGTAACTCTATCATTGACTGCGTAAGAAAGTAATTGTGAAGTCACAACAGGGAGTCAGACCATTAAGCATATTGTGAGTGCATCTATCATGGACATTCTGAGCAAGTGACTTACATGCTAACTTTCTTTGTAGACATATTCTTTTGATCAGGGTACTGCTAGTAGTATTTTTGTTTGGAGGTTATTGGCCTCTTTAGCAATGAGCTTTAATTAAGTCAGCATCCCATGTTTGCCAGGCGAAACACCTGGGAAGACCATTGCCTTGTTTCCTGCGAGCTCTGTTTTAAGTTCCTGTGATCACGATACCAAGAGTTAATTTAATGTGGAAAATATAATAGTGGTTTGAAAGAGGAAGTTCTTGTTGCTGATCAGGTTATCATCTGTTGGTTTGTGTGTTCAGAACACCAACGTGTTACCAGGAAATAGATGATTCATGAAAAAAAGAAAATTAAAAAAATCTGAGTAGAGAAGATGCAGAAATGAGCTTCCTCTTAAATTTAACAAAAGGCAAAAGAAAAAAATTGTACCAAATTCTTGCCATTTACTTGCTACTGGAAGAAAAAAAAAAAAAAAGCCTGAACTGTTTCACATAAGATCATACTAAACAGAGCCTTGGAGAATAATTAAGACACTTCAACTCTCTGGTATGACATGGTATGCAGAGAGAGTGAAATTATTTCTCCATTGTCAAGGCATTTCTTTTTGAAATATTTATGTGTGTTTAGGCTTTACAGTATGTGAAGAGTATACATTACCTGGAAATGTTCCTTTTGATAAATGAACCAGCAGACACTCATGTTTGCACAGAAGTCTGGCCCTCGCTGCAGCTTCTCCTGGGTTTGAGGAGTGTGAGTCTCATTTCTCGAATGGATGGTGCATCCTTAATGCTGAGTCTGCCTAAACCACATTTCTCTCTTTGCTTTGTCTCAAACCTTCCTTTGTTAATTCCATCTAATTGTCATTACTACTAGCCCAGTGCTTTTTTCTTAGGATCTTTTGTGATTTGATTCCTCCATGTTCCTCCCTTACCTGAAGTGTACAGGATTAACAACCGTACCCCTTAGTTTTCATTTTTGATTCTTCTTATCTCATCGCACAAAGCCTTTTTCTATTCCAGTTTGTATCTTCCCAAAAGTGATGTATTAAAACAGCTTTGCTGTCAAGTACTCATTATATGAAAGCTTGCCATTTGTGTCTCAATCCAAAATAGGACAAACAACAACTGTTGTTACAGTGGTGCGTATAACAGAGAGAATTAACAACCTTTTACTTGCAAAAGTGTCATAATCATGCACCTAATCCAGCAGAAGATGTAACAGTCCCTGACTTCTTAAGGTTCATACTAAAACTTTGTGTGAGTAACACCACTTCTGGTAATTTAGCATAAATAAACTTTTCAAACACACACTTTAGTTCTTCTGAAGAAATATGTAGGCATTTCCTCTTTCTCTTTTTTTTTTTTCCCCTTTTTCTTCTTTTTCTCCACTTTCACATTATTTCAGATGGTTCAGGGAACTTTTCATCCTGATTCTCTAGAATGTAACTTTTAATGTAAATGTAATGACATTTTTTTGTGGTAGTGGGCAAAAGTAGCAAAATGACATGCTAGCTGCCTTGAAAGGTGTTATTTTCTGTATTTCTGTTTAGCTATGACGGCTTGACAGCTAAAAATCTAATCTTCTTTGACTTGTAGATTCAAGATGCTGCAAGTCAAGGCTTGAAATTTGTTGGAATTATACCTCAGTACCATTCCCAAAAGAACTGTCTTGACAGTGCCTCCCTGACACCTGCCAGTAACAACTCTGCGCAATCAAGACGTAATAAAAACATTTCAAATTACACCGAGGATCATGCTTCACCGGACAGCGACAAAATAGATGGCATTAATGGGTGCAGTACTCCAGCACCGAGTGAGGAGAGTGCTGACCAATGTGCCACATCCAAGGAGGGCTGGAGAGGTGAAGGACAGGCTGCCGAAGAGCTGAATCTCAAGTCTGCCAAGGGAAACGAAGGACAGTTTCAGCATGCGAACCCAGGTGTTACAGAAGCAGCAGACAAGCCAAATGGACTTGGGGAGAGTGAAACACCATCACGATGTTTAAAACCACTTACTGGCAGTAAGTATTGCAGTGACCTCTCATACATAAAAGCCAAGTTAAAATTGCCTCAGTTATGTTTCCAACTCCTCTGGGGGGTGGGGATGCAGGGAGGGTCTTACCACTGTAATAGCAAAGAAAAGATGCACCAAATGAGCCACTTAACCTGATTTGAGCATGGTCACACAGTTCACAGTGACTGCGCATACGTCAGGTGGCAGATGAAGAGGTGATACGAGCGTGTGCAACTTTGTTATGGCCTGTATGCTGGTGTGTAAAGACATTTTTGTTTGCCGTTCAGCTGAATTGGTTGATTTCTGTATGTGTTGTGATACCCTGACAGCTCTTGATCTTCGTATCCTTTTTGTCCATTTGAATAAAAATCCCTGCTAATCTGCCTGACAAGGTTTTGCAGCAGTAGAAGGAATAAGTCACAAAGCCTTATTGCAGTTAGTCTCTTTGTAGCAGGTGAACAGCTGAAACTGAACCACATCAGGAACAGCAGGAGTATGTGTGAACTGGACTCTGACATCTCCTAGTACCCTATAGTTGGCCTGGGGCCAGTGCTACGGCCAGAACTGTAATTACTGGAAAGCAGCAGTTATTTTTGTTACCATTATGTTTGTTAATTCATAATAAAGGTCCTCTTGGTAATGATGCTCCTAATAATTTGCCTTTCAGTTCTCTTTTTTTGGTAAGATGATTCTTCATACACCAGTTTTCTGTCTTTCATTTTTTTGACATATTTCTCCTCTGGTGTGCTTTCCACTTTTAAATGGCATTCTATGCCATCAGAAAGCAAAAGTCTCAGATGAGATCTCACAGTACCCTCCTTAAGGTGTGTGTTTGTTGCTTGGAGGTTACTTCAATAGCAGGAATTGTAGTTCACAATAGGATGTAGACCAGAGTAATTTAGAAAATGAAGTCATCAGAAAAAAGTATTTTTGCCCCATTTCCAGTTTAAACCTCAAAATATTTTCTTTCCTATATTTGTTTGAAACCTAAGAATTAGTGTGTACACTCATTTTTTTTACCGCTTTGCTTACTTTCCTTACAAGCTACAAGTCTACGTAAGGAAATTCCATCTGCATTCTTTTCAGTTGGTACTGTCCTTGACTTTAATTTATCCCTATTCTTTATAGAGATACTTGGATTTAGTCAAACAATCCTACCCCTTTGGGGATTTAGTATGTAGGACTGAGAATGACTTTGTATTGTACCCTCCTTTGACTATTGTCTCAGTTTCCGTTGCATTTTGGTGTAATTAGGTTTTTGCCATCAGATTTGGATCACACGCTAGTAATCTTTCACCATAATTTCTTCAGTTTTTGTTGGGTAAGGGGGCAGCCAGATTAGGTCAAAGCGTAGCTGTTGTTTGAAGAAATTGTTCTAGTTTACAGTAGAATCTTACACATTATGAAGATTCTCTTCGAGTTCTAAATTAGTTCTCTCCAAGTCTAATGAGACCTTTCTCCTTTTGTATACGCTGTCTTTGAGAGGGTTAACCTAGTAAGTTTAACCATTTTTTTTGATGCTATTCTCCTTCGTACCAAACAGTGAAAAGCTTTTGCTACAAGTAACCGTATTCTTAATATTTCTGCCTAATGTGAAGCTGATCACCTTCAATCTTCCCAGCTTCTCTGTCTGTAACATGTCAGGGTTTTAATACAGTTCCTGATTTGCCAGATAAGAGGTTTTACTTAAAAAATGCCTTTAGTTTCCTTAATTGTCTTTATTTCTCTGAGTGTTTTCTGGCTTTATTTATTTCTCATACAATTTTTTTAGTCGGTGAGTTATGCGAATACTTTCTATGACTGAAGGTCTGAGAAGGCAGTTTTACGTGACAGTCAGGGTTTTCCAAATCTATTGCCTGTACAACGTTGCTGATTTCTTTATTACTCTTGTACGAATTTTTGTTATTACAGCACTCCCTTTTCCTCCCATGGAAAATGTATTTCAGTCTTTGGCACCAGTTCTCCATCCTTCCTTGGGAACATGAAGACAGAACGTGTCAGGTGTTGGGTTTTTTTTCCAGTTAGCCTACTTATTCCATAGGAAGTTATCACTCTTGAACTCCATCTTCCCTACTTCAGAAAAAAAGAGAGTAGTATTTCTTACTATTAGCAGAATTTAATTTTATCCTTTAATTAAGGTGTTGTCCTAGTCAAGTGTTATTTTTATGTGTCTTCATTTTTTTTTCTGAATATTTTGTAGCACTCACTCGCTTTCCCTTTCATTAAAGGGCTCTTCAAAACAGTGTTGAAAATTATTTGCCTATGGACAAGGCACAGAAATTCCACTGTTACCTAGAACCAAACTGAAGGTGTCTTTGTCCACGCTTGAGCAGTCGGGCTCGCTGGTGAAAACTCTTGTCGATAGTGACTTGAAGGGTGGTTAGGAGTGGTGTAGTGTACGCTCAGTAATGGGGACAAACCAAGTCAACCACTGGAAGACTCTCCCACACATTTTACGTGCAGGTTGTCAACAGCCCAGTGTCAAATCTAAGTCATCATCTCCCTATGGTTTTCCAGTTCCATGATGTGCTGTTGTTAATCTAGTGTCTTCATATACACCAAAAATATCTCAGTTTCCAACATAAGTCTATTTTGGGGGTTAGAATCAACACGATTACAGAAATTTTCTGTGTATGCTTTTCTGAGTTAGGATTATCTTAATTGTTCTTTCTAAACGAGTGGTAAACAGCAAGAGGAGTCATGTTAACAATTTATTCCTTTCTACTCTGTTTGAATCATGGTCCGTATCTGGGATCATTAGGTCTCTCTTTCATGTTTGGTTATATCGTGAGCTTTCTGCTCTCTTCAAGTGCTGCCAGCCTGTCTCTGAGCATCTCCCTTCTATCCTTCTCAGTTCACACACTATTTCTTGCTCAGTGACGTTTGTTAGAGAGCAATCTTAACATTTCTCTTGACATCTCTTTCTTTACCTTAATTTTTGGGGTTAGAATATAGTAACTTGGAAACAAGAGGATCTTAATGAATGAATGAATTTCATATAATGCCTTTAAATTTGTATTAATTTATTTTGGGAGAAGTTTTGGCATTTGGAAGTTAATAAAAATTTTACCATTGATTTCTATGTTCATTAATTAGTAAAATATTAGTGTTAAAAATGTTTATTGGTAATTCTATTGATGGTTATATCTTTCTGAGAATTTGGAAGGTATATCTGCACTTAAACTTGCTTCCAGTTTTAGGGCTGTGAGAGCTCAGCTGTGCTGTCAACAATGACTTTTTTTGTGATGCTATGCCCTCGCTAACTGCTCCTACAGTAAACAAGAGGAGATATGGAGCAGAGTCTGGAAAATGTTCTCGTTTCTAAGACCATTCACAATTCCACTTTCGAAACTCATTTGCTGTTGTTTCAATGTCTCACCGTGGCTCAGACCCAGAGTAAATCAGCTAACCAGCTAGTGGTCTCTACACTAATGATTCATTGCATTTTCTTCAGATGAGACTACTGCTTGCTGGTTCAGCGCCACTATTATCAAAACCAAGTTACTTAATACTTCAAGGGACATGATCTGCGGGATGCACTTTCTCCTAAATTTGCAATAAGATTTTGTATTTGAACTGTCCTCAGTGTCACAGCTCTTTTAACAATTCACACAGTAGAAAAATAAAGGTACTCTGTGCATTGATTTTGAGTGGGTTTGTGACTGGTACAGTAGTTAAAGCAGTTTGCGGGGCATGTTTCCCTATCCTGATTTACACTGATAACTCCAGTAAGGGAGTTGTCCGTTAGTACCCAGGTATTACTGTATTTAAATGCTTTATGGTAGTGAATCCATTATTAGTAACAACTTTTGTAAGAGCAATCAGAATATCATACTGGGTTTTGGGACCCTGGTGTGTTGGACACTGCAGAAATGTATTAAGGAGATAACCACGACCCAAAGTACTTTTTGAACTTACACAGGGTAATCAGGCAAGGGCAAACAGTGGGTTATACACTGTTTTAGCTGAAATATGATGATACGGTTGTTGCATCACTCTATTTTTTATTTTTTTTTTTCCCCGATAGAAGCGGAGATCTTCGCTCTCTTCAACAAGCCCAAAACCACCCAAAGGTGCAGCCAGTATTATACAGTGACTATCCCTATGAGAGTCTCCAGGAATGGGCAGACTGTGAATGGCTTAGAAGCAAATTGGCTGGAGCACATGACAGATCACTTCAGGAGAGGAGGTTCATTGGTAAATGCCATCTTCAGCCTTGGAATGGTAAATGGTATGGAAATTACAGAAAGCGTTATGCTGTGATTATTTTCCTTTCTCCTATAATAGACGTCATTATCTTTGAAGCAAAGACATTTGGGAGGTGCCATAATGCAGGTTTGGGGCAGATTTCATTTAGATCAGCCTATTTCACTGAAATGGAATGAAAGCACAGGAAATATTTTGGCGTTTGAATAAGGAAAATGTATTGTATTTTATAAACATGCGAGAGTTAATCCTGTAATTGCAGAAAGAGTTAATAAACAGTACCACGTAAAATGAATTAATAAGATTGTAAAGCATGTGTCAGAAATGGAAGACTTCATTTCCTCCTAGCTGTCCAGCCACACGCTGCGTCCGGGTCTGATTGCAGATCAGTGTAAGGACCCTCCAGTTTCCCTGGCCAACATGTAGTCAGTTACTCCCAGTTCTTGCAGAAACCCTTTCCACCTTGATGGCACAGTGTTTTATAAAATTGTCTTCTATGTTTGTTTCATCCTGGCTAGTGTGTTCATATAAGTGATGGTTAAATGCTGGTGTTAATCTAAGAAGAGAAGATTAAAAAGAGATTTTTGCATGTTGTGGAAATGCAGCACTGACCCAGCTTCATACTGTAGCCAGTCTGTACTACGCTTGTGGCCACCGTGGTGTCTGTGAAGACGCCTGCTGTGCAAGGAAAGAATTAGGTGCATAGTAGGGATCTGAGATAACCACCAAGGGACCATGAGAACAAGCCAAGGGAAGTACTTGAAGATGAAAATGTTAAAGTTACAGCCAGATAAATTTTACTGGAAAATTACGTGACTGGTACATTTCATGGTTAAAGTGCTTATGGCTGAATCGTTCACCTAATTTTGGTTTGTTTTACATTCTTCAAAAGGAATGTGGTAATCCATAAACTGCTACTAAGATTCGTGGGTTTGTGCCTCAAAATTATAGGGGAACTGCTTCCAGAACATAATCTTCCCATTTTGCTGCTGGTCAGAATTCCAGGCCCCATGATGAAACGCAATAATATGAGTCAATTCTGGTAAAAGTCAATCAGGAAATTAACAGGCTATCCTAATTTTTCATTTTGCAAGCAAGTAGCAAAAAAGGAAGGTCTAAAGTTCAGCTGATGGAATGCTTTCACACAGCTTCCTGGAAAGCCTTGTAATTGCTAGTTAACTTGCTTAAAAACAAATGGTCATTTATGTGTACAAATTGCAACACATAGAGGCAAGTCTAATTGGCTCTATCAGGCTCACTATTTTCTTTAATAAAAACTGCTTATCAGTGCACTGTTAAAATGCTTTAAACACAGCATTTTTCTGTTATTTAAACTTCTAAAGTTCATTTACATAACAGAGGCCTGGGGAAAGTTCATGTACTTGGACAACAGAGTGAGGAGTACTGGATAACTGCCTGAGGACATAAAGTAGGCTTGAAAGATGACGATAAAGTTTCAGTTTAAACAAGACAATGGATTGTATAAAAGTGAACAGATTGTGGATTAAGTTAGAGATTGAAGATGAACAATTAATGAACATTTTTATTAGCTCTTTAGAGTTACAGGAAGAACAGGTTTAGAAGTCAAAAAGCTCCGAGTTAAGGTTTTTAAAAGTGTGTTAATTAGAACAGTTAAGTTAAAATGCTGTGCCCATGCTTTAGCAGAACATTTGCTAGGAATATCCGTAAGTTGATATCCGTTGCTTTTAAATGTTTATGATTTAAATTCTAAAATTTTCCTATGATGCAGAGAAACAGAACAGCTTTTTCACTCATACGCCAACCAGTGTGAAATAACCCAGGGTAGGGAGGAGGGAAGAAAGAAGGGGCTGAGGGCTTCTCAGCTCCTTGCTTTTTTCCAGTCTTTCATGACAGCCTATCCAGCTCTTCATAGCTGGTCTCCTTATTCACTGATTAATCCTATTCCAAATTAAGGTAATATTAGCATACTTTCTTTAATTGGCTGTGTCGCATTTCTTTGTTCTGGGGGCTGCTTTTCTCTTTGGCGTAAAGTATGAATTCATTATTTTGCCTATTAGACTTAAAAGCAGGGTTATTATCTTCTTTTCCCCTTTGTCCTTGGAATGCCCAATGAAGTGAAGATTTCCAGATTGTCAGTAGTCATAAATCTGTTTCTTCCTTCTGCCAACAGTTTAATAATTAGTCTTTAAAAGACTTTTAAAGTTCACGATAACAATTGTTTCCTTTTGCTTATTGTACCAGATAATTATAAACAGAAATGTAACACAGTTGCAAATTACAATATGTAAATGATGCAGTAACACCATATATTAAATGTATTCAGAATTTGCTAGTAAGTTAGAAACAGCAGCTTGCTTGGTCCTTGAATGTTCCTCTCTTGACAGGTAACAGTTATTTAAATTTGGAGTTGAATTACTTTCTGATGTTCTTCATCCAACTCATGTCATTGCTAATTCTGCCTGTAGTTCCAGGTGTAAACTGATCCTGCCTAGTGATCTAAAGTGATCACAGGACTTTACCCTTGCTCTCTTCTAGTGAGAAGTAGATGCTGTAGCAGCAAGCTACAGATTAATACCACTGCCAACGGAAAGGACTAACAGGTGGAGTCTCTTTCTTTCCTGTAGCAGCAAGTCTCCAATCAGTAGTGAGAAGGGAGGAGAGTCCAAGGCAAGGTTATACTTTGATGCCTTAACAGAGTAATCACAAGCCTGCTGTCTTTAGTTGCTTTGAACTGCAGGTCTTCAGATGCCTGACCTTGTAGTTTTGTACCATTCTGCCTGTGAATTTCCTGCCTTTCAAACTTAGAAAAAGCCAGCCAGCCAACCAGATAACACTGACAGTACTTAAAGACAAAGCAAATGAAACACAATGTGAGTTGCTTGGAAGAGGAAAATGGGCAGGGTTTTAGAGGGTCAGATTGATTGTCTCTCTCATATTTGCACTGCCTCTGACAGAGACGAACCAGTGATGCATTTGGCCAATTATAGGTACCTTACCCGCTTAAGAGGCTGGGATTTTTATCATCCTTATGGAATTATTTTTCTCTGTGTGTGCTGAAGGTGAAAAGATTCAGGAGGAGGGAGGAATGTAAATATGAAGCAAAGGCCAACATTCAGGTCACATGCCACACAAAGCCGCAGATACCTAGTTTTCCTCATTGAGAGCAACAGTAGCCTAAAGGTTAGTTTCCTAGATAAGGGGGATTTGTAGTTGAAAGACTACAAGGGGAAAATTGTTGCCCACTAGGAAAGCTGTCATGGTAAAGTAAGAAATCTTTTCCCCTATACTACTTGTAAATCAGAAGCAAGAACATCAAAATAGCTTTTTGTCAACCGAGCTACATCAAATATTTATACAACCCAGTGAAAATAGCTTTTTGTGCACAGTAGGATACCTTAATAAAAAATGCAGTGGTAATGGAACATTTTCAGAGGAAGGACAGTGATTGTAACCTTTATGTTCAGAGCCTTTTCTTTAAGAAAGAGTGAAGTTATGTCAGTTCAAGAGTAAGGATTGGGAAATGATACCACAAACAACAAAGTCAAAATGGTTTGTTCTCTTGGCATTCCTTACTACCCTATTGCAAATGAACTACCGTTTCAAATTACTAAAGACCTTTTTAATGTAGGCTAAGTTCTAATCTTGTTAAACAAGGCATTATCACAAGAGAATACAACTTCATCAGAATTGGGGAATACCTTTCATGAGAAACAGTGGAAACTGGAAAGGCCAACTCACCATCTAAAGTTTTAGATAGCTGATCTTTGTAGATAGGTTATACATGTAGATAGGTTACATGGCATGAAAGTTTTAATGTAGTGGCACGACTGGTAGAGAGGAGACTTGGTTATGGTAAAGGAGTAGAATCTTAGTGTCATCAACCAGTTTCTCTTGCAGTTTTTCACCACCATCACTCTGTTGAGCAGACATCAGTGTGCAGCAGCTGTCTTTCCCTCATCATCCTTCCCCTTCCAGTTTTCTCATTTTCTATAGATTTCTTTCCTGGCCAGAAAGTTAATGGATTTTAGGATTGACTGGATGTAGCATTCAGCAGTAATCATGGTACATCCAGCAAGGAAGCACAGTCAAATTTATCCGCGGCCTGTAAGGTCTCACGAGCTCAGCTATTAGTTTCTAAAACATTACATATGTGCCATAATGTTCACATATGTGGAAACTGTGAACTGCGCGAGTGGAATGTGCAGCAGCGGGAAACATAAAGGATGATTTACGAGTGAGTGTAAACACATGCATGCTGATTGTGTTTTGATCGCTTATTAATTAGCTGGCAAACGCATGGGGTGAGCTCAAGCTGCAGTTTTGCCAACAGCATGGCACTGAATTCATTAAGAGAATTCACGATACAGGAGCAGTACACCGACGCTGTATAACACTTCCTCGCAAGGCCTGGGTGTCTGTGTCCAGTAAGAGTCCATGGGTTTCCAATTTCAGCCTTAGGTGCTATCCTGTCATCCCTGCTTTGGAAAATTAAAGGGTTATTTGTACATTGTGAATCCTAAAATAGATTTGTGTGTGGGTGTTGGAACATGATACGTTACACAGAAGTTGATTTGGTTTGGGCTTTGAAATGTGGGGTCTAACAAAGTACCATTTCTGAATAAAATAGAATAATTAACTTTTGTACCCATTGGTATATTGCAAGCTTGTTCTCCCTAGGTTTTCCATCCTGCAACCCACCTACTTGGTGATCTGGGTGGTTGTTTCATAACTAAAACGTCTGTTCTCACATGGATGAAAAATTCATCTAGATGACAGGAGTTACTGCTTTGTAGTCCAGTTCATCCTTCTTGGAGCAGTGTGTAATGCTGGCTCACTGTAGTGGTGAGGTGTCTCCATCCCTCTTTATTCTCAACGGAGTTACAGGAAACCTGTTTCGTGATTCATGTGGGTGTTTGCATCTGCTCACTTACTGGAACTGCAGCAGGGGAGAGTAGTGGACCATGCGGGTAGAAGCAGAGGTGTGTGCAGATGCCTGACACCTGTAGCAACAGTCTTGCTGCAGTGCGTTGGTAGGCATTTATTATTCCCAAGTAATAGAATGAATTTAGATCATATAATAACACTGGAAAATGTTGACTAAGATTGTCTGCAAGAGTTACGTGCTCTTAGCCCTCTTCATTGCCTCCTTTCTGAAAATCAGTTTAGAGTTTGATACATGTTTTCCCATGGAGGCTGCTGTGCCTTCCTGATAGCATTTCTTGACCTCCCAACATCCCCCTGGGAAAGCAGAAGGACCTGCTGAAACAGCTAAGCAGACTTACCCAGAAGACTCTCCTGTCGGTTCAGGAATCTGTCAGCTTGGCACGTGCGGTTGCATTTCAAAAACATTTATCAATCCAGTGCAAGGAACATAGTTTTCCTAAAAAATGTGAGGAAACTATCATGGAAAATACAACACTCGGGGAGGGGATGAGCAAGGCCTTTATAACTGGTCATACACAGGATTTAAATGAGAAAGGCTGCAAAACACACTTTGTGACAATGTGAGAGGAGTTTTCTGTGTTCATAAACACTGCAGTACTGCTTATTAATAGTTTTTCTAAATATAATTATATTGCTTCATCATTTAGCTTATTTTGACAAAGAAAGGGTGGGGTTTTTTTCAATTATTCTGATTCTGTTCTGTCATGGAGCTGACAAAATTTGGGTTCTTGGGAATGGGAGTGACTGCTGATTATGGAGTATATGGCCCAGTTGCAGGAGAAAGTGCTGCTCAAGTAACTTTAATGGTATGTGTTGTCTGAAAAAAGGCTGAACATGCTGGGAATGCAAATGAGAATAGAGAGCCACTAAACCAGATGGTCAAAATGCCTTCATAAATTGATTAAATAGTTATGAATGTATCTCTTCTTTCACACTGTTCAGATATGCCAGATCATCCTTAGTCCATGTGGATCACTGTAACTGGCTCATCCATATGTGGGGTTCCGACTGGTGTGAATGAACGGCTGTAGTCATTAATATCAGTGTGCCTTCAAAAGCCCTTGAAAAGGTGACATACTACGTGGTCTTTAGCCCTCAATGTGTGTGTGTAACTTCAAGCAGGCGAGCAGTACTGTTGAACTGAGGACTGAATTTTGCCTGCTCAAAATGGGAGAACTCTGCTTTTTTGAGGACAAAATCAGGAATAACAGAGCGGACAGTGAGGTTTGCGATTAGAGAGTCAGTTTGCTCTCAGAATCTGCTAGAGATATTAATCTCATTCAATAGAGCTGGACTATCAAAGGAAGGTCTGTGCACTTTTTTATTATCATCCTTGGAAGGATTTGTTATTAACAAATTCAAATGCCTCACTACACATGGGTTGCCTTCTATAAAGCTTACAGATAACCCTGTGTTTTCACAGATTCTTTACACGGGACAATGGATGGAGTATTTCTCTTTGAAGATGTTGCTGCAGAAGACAGTAAAACCATGCAGGGCTATGATGCAATTGTTGTAGAGCAGTGGACTGTCCTGAAGGTATGTGTGTAGTTTTTCTTCTTTGTGGTTGGTGGGGTTGTTTTTTTGTTCGTTTGTTTGGTGGTGGTGCGGGTTTTGTTTTTTTTTTTTTGGTAAATCAAAGCACTCCCAGAACGGACGGCAGACTCTCATGTACTGACCTGTGCTTCAACAGTATCAGCTAGGCAACTGAGGTAAAGGGATGCAACAGAACAGTAATGCCAGTTAACCACGCTCTAGGTTTGTATGACACGCTTTTGATTTTGATAATCTCCGTGCTTTACTGGGGTGGGATAGGAGATGTGAGTGATGGTGAGCAATGAAACTCAGGGCTATCTGTCCCAAAAACACAGGTGTCTGCTAGATTGACTGTAAAAAGGATCTCCACTGGTTGTCAGGGCAACATGATCACACAAGTCGCTGTAGCATGGCAGTTCTAAAGAAGGCAGCCCTTTAGGTAGGCTCAGCTGCAGTAGGAATGCACAGATAACTGCATTTGCTTCTGTCTGACCTCCATATGCTGAAAGAACTCTATAGGGACCTATCCAGAATATAAACAAACCATGTGCGTCATAGATTGGCTTTTTACTGATCCAAGTGCACACTTAGATCAGTAGAAACAGTTTTTAGATCAGATCAGTCAGTACTGATCTTCCACAGTGAATCTGATACACAGATGTGAAAAGCTGGGCTTAAAAGTCTTTGTGACTAGAAGCAAAAAGGTCACGAGGGGGAAAGAATATACCAGTGTGCAACTCTCAGAAGCTCTTTTTGTTTGTTTTATTTGATTATTCTATTTGGCCAGAAATAAATGTCATGTATCTAATAGGCAGTGCCTGATCTTCTCCCTTGGAATATATTGTAAATGGTGTAAAATCCTAAGACATGCAGGGCACACACATGCCAAAAGGATTGATAAGGGAAAATGGGACAGATGCTAGACTAAATGTGTGAAATTTTAGGAGACTGGGGTTAAGACTTTGGTTATTAGATGATGACTTCGTAGCGTAGCAAGGAATGGCCATATAATAATGGCTAGAAACTTCTTGAAGAACAGTGTAATGTGTTAATGGCAGCTTTTCTTGTGCTAATGTGCAGTGGAACAAATTATTCCTTTATTGCATTTATTGTTATTCCCGTTATTACAGAATTCAAGTTCTTGTTCATTTTGGAGTCAGATTGTGGTGTTGCCACTCAGGAGCAAGTTTTTGGGATAAGGAAAGATGGTTCCATGAGTGCATTAGGTCAGTGCCAATCAAAAAAGCAAATGTTAAGAAGCTTTAATGTTAACCACATGTTAAAAACTGTTAGGAAAGGCATAGAGGGTGAAACAGCCAGGATATATAATAGTTTGGGTTGAAAGGGACCTCTAAAGTTCATCTAGTCCAGCCTCCTGGCAGTGAGCAGGGACATCTTCAACTAGATCAGGTTGCTCAGAGTCCTGTCCAACCTGACCTTGAATGTTTCCAGGGATGGGGCATCTACCACCTCTCTGGGCAACCTGTTCTGGTGTTTCACCACCCTCATTTTTAAAAATGTCCTCCTTATATCTAGTCTGAATCTGCCTTCCTGTAGTTTAAAACCATTACCCTTGTCCTGTCGCAGCAGGCCCTATTAAGAAGTCTGTCCTCACTTTCTTGTAAGTGCCCTTCAGGTACTGGAAGGTGCTATAAGGTCTCCCCGGAGCCTTCTCTTCTCCAGGCTGAACAAGCCCAGCTCTCTCAGCCTGTCCCCATAGCAGAGGTGCTCCAGCCCTCTGAGCATCTTTGTGGCCTCCTCTGGCCTCGCTCCAACCAGTCTATATCCTTCTGATGTTGAGGGCCCCACAGCTGGATGCAGCACTCCAGGTGGGGTCTCAGGAGAGCAGAGTAGAGGGGCAGAATCCCCTCCCTCGACCTGCTGGCCACACTTCTCTGGATACAGCCCAGGATACTGTTGGCTTTCTGGGCTGCCAGCGCACACTGCCGGCTCATGTTCAGCTTTTCACCCACCAGTACTCCCAAGTCCTTCTCCTCAGGGCCGCTCTGGATCCATTCATCCCCCCCAGCCTGTACCGATGCCAGGGGTTGCCCTCTACTACCTACTGCTGTATAAGCCGTGGTTTGACAGCACCTTATTTCAGAACATAATGTTAGC